CAAGGTCGAGAGGCGTGGATTCCGTCGCAAAATTTCCATCGCCTGCGAAGAGGGTCCCGTTCTTAGTGTCGTACCCCACCATACTGTCGACACGCGGGGTGCCAGCCACCCAAGCATCCAAGGTACCTCAGGTTCGAAGGGCCCCCGCCTGTTGAAGTAAGACGGGAGCATAAAAGCACTACAGTAGGATGAATCATTCGGCGGAGGATACTTGATACGGATACCTTATGTTGGATAACATGAAGAGGCACAAGCATCTATCGCCCAGTCAAAAACTTTACCATCTTTGAGCGAATAGGGTGAGTATCAATAGCTCAGTCTTTTTATAATTTTAGGTTTCCAATTTTTCTACACTTTTGGTGCACGACCCAAGTTAGATTAGGAGCCAAGTTTATTGCATAAATCTACTAATATAAACCTATCAAATCCATCTCGAAAGGTGCTTGAGAAGTTGGCTCTCGAGGTTGACGAGCAACATTCCACATTGTACGACTTTGAGATGTTGTCTGCCAGATCTCCATATTGTATCATCCTTCCCAACTTCTAGTTTACTCGTTCTTCGAGGGAGGCTCGGTCTCATTCCTCTTCACACTCGACCTGTTCGATAGCAGCTGCGAGAGTACGAAATGGTTTACGTCCTCATCAGCCCAGTATGCCATGTGAGATGCAATGGTATTGATGGGATTGAAATCCAGGACGCTCCTGTGTCCAACGTTAACCCTTTTTTGCTTTTCGCATTACTGTGTCTTGCAAAGTACTTACTCTTGAATGCTATAGTCAACTCGGCCGTTACGGTTGAGTGCTCGGACTTTAGCTTCTTCCTTGCGCATCTTACGCGCCTTCTTATCGTCGTCAGCTGTTGCTTTTTCTGTTCCTGTTCCTGTTGTTTCCTGGTCCTTATTTGGCCCTGCACGATTCTTTTGGAAATTGGAATACAAGGTTTCGATTTCTTCGTCGATCAGTGTCGGGTTACGGTCACCGGCTCCGGAGTCGGACACAGACGCAGAGTCCGCAAGCTTCTTCATACGTGCATCCGTGGCTTCCCGTTTCTCTGCAGCATTTGACACGTCTCGGTTTGCTGTCTTAGCTCCTGTCTCTGGGCCTGTGCCTTCGGCGCTGGCGGTAATCCGTGCAACCTCTTCGTTACTCAAGCCAAGTGATCGATTGAGCAGGTTACTGGCGATGCCAGCACTGAGGCTTGACCACAGTCCGCTAACGCTCTGTCCGACTTTTGCTCCGATTCCCGTCAATCCCTGTGGGGCGACATTGCCGAATATTCCTCTTTTCGTGTATGGTAACAGTTGGGGCTTGAGTGTAGACATAGTCGGAGATATCAGCGGCTCGAGGCGGTAACTAATTGGATCAGATGGGTGGAAGATGTTAAAGAGCTGCTGAATCTTTGGTGATGAGACAGACATAGGAAGACCAGTCAAGGGGGATATCTGCTCTACTCCTGAAGAAAGCGGTGCGGTTCGAAAACACTCCCCTTGTGTACTTCCCCCGTGGATATCTTTGATGTCGGATGATGCGTTGCGGTGTCTGGCCGCTATTGTTCTGAAATCGCGTTAGTGTTGGAACGTTTCTCTAGGGATAATGAGACGCACTGTCCCTTGAGCATCTGAAAGAGACCGATTGGAGAACCCAGGCAAAAGAAATCCTCGACTTTGAACTCAAGGTTGAGATCATGGTCCTTGTTGGGTGTTTCTGAAATATTCTGAGCTGGCCATAATCGTAGAACAGACTTCGGCTCAGCGGACTGATCCCGCTTTTGCTGGCAAAGTAAATCAAAGAGAATCGCGGAACCCAGAGAGTGGCCCATCAAGTGAACCTTTCCTCTGAAATCAGGATTTCTTTCTTTGAATAGTTTGAAGATTCTGTTGCATTCATTTAGCACAATCCTCGAGATTTGAGCCCTGTACGAGCTTTGGTATAGCAACACATCTAAGGCAAGGTCCGAGATCAGGGAACGTGCGAATGCCACCCCTTCGATAGTAATGTCGTCCAAGGATGGATCTACAGCATCGGTAAAGTCAGCAACATGGCGGCTAGCAAGGGTATGATGTGTGTATACTAACACTCATCCTCATCATCGTCTACATCTCCCAGGTCACGCTCTCCCTTCTTCTCACGCTTCTTGGGAAAGTCCAGCAGATGTCTCCAGCAAACGGGAAGAACCTGTACCCTGGAGTTACCGGGTCCAGCCCCAAGTTCCGAGTTCAATGCTTTCAGATCTGCTGAGTTGGCATACACTGACTTGATTGTCTTGCGGAGGACATTGACATCGTGAACAAAATTGACACTCTCCATTCTAATAATAATACTAGTCAGTTGAGGATAATCACAAGTCGTTGCATATAGGACGTACCGTAAACTAAGGAGCTGACCTATACCATGTGTGACAAGCACCAGATGCTCGATTTCACGTCCTTGGGTTTCGCCGACCTGTGCATTGTAATCGTCTTGTATCTCCTGCTCTTCACGCCTCCGTATGTCTTCTTCCTTTTCCGCCTTTGTTTTTCCTTCTCCCTCAAGGAGGGAAGAAAGCTGGCGCTGAAGTGTTGCGCGCCGAGGGTCTTGGGTCGGAGTATTGTCGCTGCCATTCTGAGCAAGGTCTTCATGTGAAGCACGGGTGGTGGGCGGAGCTGATCTTCGCTTCAGACTCTTTTGTTGTTTTTCGTCCAGCAGAATACCTGAGTCAGCTGTGTTGGGTTGTTTCTCTTCCCTCTTGCCCTTGTCGGTGTCGATGTCTTTTTCTTTATTCTTGCTAGGTTCTGAATAGCCGCGAACCAGTCTCACTCCGCTCATATAGCTCCCACCAGCGAACCTTTGGTACATAGAAGAAGTCACCCAAGAAAGCATACCATCCGTATTTAAATAGGCAGTGCTTGCATCATGGTATGTGGCCAAACTGTTCATGTATGTTCCAAATAATCGGTATGACTGGGGCTGGGTTTGGCCACGAGACGATGGTTCAGTTGTAGAACCATCAGCAACTGGCGTCTGGCCAGTTTGCTCAGCTCCACCCTTAGCTGTTGCATGTAAGTTCTCTTGCGACGCTTTCGGTGTAAGGTTCCTTCTAGCTCCTGATGGACTGCGGTCTCTTGCTGTACAGTGTTTTAGTCAAAAGTTGCAAATGAAAGTTTAGTTTGCCTTACTGGGATATAGCCATGGCTTCATCTTGAGGTAGCCCTGTATACATAGTTAGATCGAGCACGACAATTGTGGCATTTAATATTGAGTGTACCTCCTCCAGCTGAGCGGCTAGATTCTCTTCGCAAGGGCGCAAGTTAGAGCCTTCTTGGTAAAACCATGTCCCTCTGCGTACTACCATCGATCAGCGAGTATTCAGACTAAGAACTTTACAGCGGCATACCATCATAAACTGGGCCAAGCCAATATACAGGAGCCAATTCCCGGCATTCAATGTCAACGTCGAATAAGAAGTCCTCATTCACGGGAACACGAACTCCAGCTGACTGCGATCCAGACAGCCCGCGCTCCCGGTTTGTAAGTCCGTCTGCGGTGTCATCTGCAACATCAGCTTTGCGCTTTCTCGGGGCCGTCTGCACATCTCCAGGTGCTCGAGTCCGGGCCTCCTCTAGTTCCTCGAGCAGCCTCTGATACTCGGCTTCTAAGGCCTTGGAATCCGAAGAGGAAAACGAGTTGTACTTCTTTGGTTGTGTCGAAGGCTTTTCCGGCTGTGTGGATTTGCTGAGGCGAGGTTTCCGCTTGGGAACATCTACAGCATGGAACCACTGAACTTTTAGAGGAGGGCATCCTGATGGATATGTTCGAAGGCTCTGCCCATAAATGTGGGTTGTGGTGTGATCATCAGGGTTTGCTGAGGTTGCAACCGTTGATGTTTCCTGCTCAGTCTTTGTTTTTTGAGTTGGAGTTGTGCTGCGACTAGCAGCCCAAGGATTAAAAGAATCAACAGCGGAGCTCAGATATGACCTCTCGACCTTTTTCTCGGCCGTTCCTGGTGCCATATTCACACTGAATGGCCGCGAACATACACACCATCCAAATTTCGACGTTGCAAGCCGTTGTGATGTTAAGGCTCTGGGAAGCTTGTGGGTTGTGAGGAGTGATGAAGCCAGTGTGACGAGTGGCTCACCGATATGCGACAGGGCCAGGATATCTCGTAACTAATGTTTTGGCCTTCAGAACGACATGAACTGAAATAAATAATTCCAGATTGTAAAACGCGTAGATATGAATATAATTTCTTGGTGAATTTGACAGGAACTGTCACATTTACCCCCCAAAGACTAGTAGATTGGTAGAAAAGGCAGGTTAGATATTACTAGGTACCCTATGTACGGAGTATGTTCCATGTGAAAGCCAGATGACGTTCCAGCTGCAGACACTACCTTAGTACAGGCTCCTGCGTTGAACTAACTGCTTTTGGTACCTACCTACCTAGGTATATAAGGTACATGCAAAACCCGCCGTCATTCGAAGCGTTTCCAAAGCATTGGATGCTGTTAATATATTACCTGACAACCTTAACTAATACCTAGGTACCTAGGTACCTAGGTAGGTAAACTAACCCAGCTTTAGAATGACCTTAATATCTAAGTCAATACCATCTTCTTTGAAACCTAAAGAAGGTCCTGGGTGACTCAACCCGTGAGAAGTTGAATAAGGTGCCGCATGGTAGGGTTAACAATGTTTACTGACAATTTTACTCAAAGATTCTATGTTCGTGTAAAGATTTTCTTACTTCAAGTCTCCCTTCTCAACCGAATTCTCTAGAACTCGTCGGCAAACGAATACTGAGGTGAGAGGAGCTTCCACAAGCCACTAGGTAAGGTAGGTACTTACTTAGACTCTATAACAGTCCCGGATTTTCATGCCAAAAAAGCATCTTGAAGATGAAGCACGGAATTGGAGATGCGGCCTTATATATTTTTAACCTTCATAAACCATATTGCCTGGTTGCAGCAATGGTCATACAACCCGCTTTTGAACGCCATTAACAAAAGTGCCTGCTGACTCTACAGCGATAATAAACCTGTCTGAAGAATATGCCCCCACTGTCCCTGTCGCTGTTGGGCAAAGTCTGCAGCTGTCCTACCTTGGTTGTCTCGCAACCCACGAATGTCCCTTTCTCTATTCACCGACAGGCGGCCAACACCGGTCGCCTCAGCCACAGAGCGAGCATACTCTGGGAAAAAAGACTCGGGGATCGTGGAACAAAGCCAAAGCAAAAGCCACAGCGATTCCTCCTGTGAGTTTTCGATCGCAAGGTGCAACCCGTTCTTCATGTCTCCCAGAGGGTCCTGGTAGGTTACGAAGGCTGTGAGATCTTCAATACTATCACCAGCGTCTCGGAGAAGTTCAACAATGCCGCCAACATCACCCTCCGCGCACATGACATGGAGCGCGCGAGCTGGGCGCGCCTCGGGGTTACTCTCAAGATATGCTTCTTCGGTGATGGATGGAAGGATATCTAGGTTTTCCTGAATGCCGCCCTCATTCGTATATCTTGTGAATATTGCGGTGCCCGGGGGTGTCGAGAGGAAAGTGTTTGTCACCGAAGGACCCCCTTCGTTGACAGGAAGGTATGCGTCGCAGCTGGGACACTTGAGGGACAGGGCTACATCTGAAGATTGATCAAGCAAGCATTGCCTATCGAAGATTAAGTGAGCTATTATACTCTGGTGAATGGTGCAAAGCAAGCCGGGTTCTCAAGTAAGACCTACCAGTGAAAGTGACAACCACAGGGGAGCTCAAGATCATCGGGCACGGATGAATCTGAAGTGCTGGGGCCTGCTGCGCCGGCCTCGTCATCTACATCCTCCTCAGGATCAAGACGTAGCACCAATGTCTCTTGACAAACTTTGCAGAGAGCCATCTCTGTGCCAGAAGAGAGCGGCTGACTGGCTGGCTGTAAACTGGTAGGGAGAGGCACAGCAAGGTGTGGATGAGGATTTCTATAAGTCCCAAGGCGAAGGCTCTACTGTTTGTACTTTTTTTCAGTTCATCTCCACCGTTTACCATGTCCTCCACTTGTTCGGCCTGACGAAACGAAGTGGAGTTGCTGAGAAGAAAACGCCCCCCTCGGGTCCGGAAAATAATCAGGAATTCTTAGGTGTGCTCGACACCAAAAGTGTCCCGTTTATTTCCCGGGCACCTACTCCGTAGACGCCCAACTTGTGGTTGAAACTGTGGAAGCCTTGACCTGTAACAGTGACAGCTCCCTGACCAAATACTGGTAAGCTCGGGCTGTGGACACATAGGTAGGTTACTGGCTGAACTCGGCAGTCAGGTACTACTAGATGAACCGATCATCCTACAACAAGCATTACCTATCACTATTCGTAGGCTTCATAGCAACTTTTTTCGTCAGGCAGCGAATCCCAGGCAGGCATTTAGCTGCCTTGCATTACTACGGGAGATGTAGCATGGAATACCTAGACTACTAGGCCAGCAGGCAACAACTAGTTCCCCATGCCATGTTGCATGTGTTCTGTGCTTAGGTCTGGTGTCGTAAGTGATTGCGAATACCAACACAATCTGAAGACCTTCAGGTACTAGATACCTCTAAGTGAGGGTGAACTACCTAAGCTGGAATAATAGAAATGGGAGCGCTGCACTGCCATCTTGAATGGCGGACATTACATCACTGCTTAGCCGGCCACTAGGTACTTACCTATGGGAGACTCTTGGCAGGGAAGCTCCCCGCAGTGACGTGGCATAAAAGTACCTTAGTCTATGGCATAAGTACACTTACCGCCGACGCGCCCCCGGTAAGTACATCAAGTGCAGTCAGTCAGTACTTGATCGACATCATCATTTAGGTACCTCCTCTATTTAGACCGGGAACTCCCCCACTCACTTAACCTACGCCGCCTGAAGACCGTCTCTCTCCTTTCAGGCGCCCAATTCTCGCATCATCTTTTTCCTTAACCCATAAGAGAGCCCGCGAATACCTTTCTGCGCTCGAGAACTGCTTTTTCTCTCTGGTGGCTTCGGATTCTTAATAGCATACCACATCCTCGCCTGCTCAGCTGTCCAACTGCATAGGTGTCTCCTAGAGCACCCCGCCCTCCCCCGCCATGAACGTTTTGAAACTTCAGAGGTCGGTCGCACCGGAACTCGCGGGCTTCATCGCGAAGCTGACTATGATTTAATAGGAAGTTTCCTCAATTCCAACAGAACGAAATCTTTAGCTTGTCCGATGCCTTTCAGCGGCTTGATGTTGACGACAGAGGATACCTTGATGAAGCTACCGCTATCAAGGCAACCCAGCAGAGCGAAAATCAGCCCTACGATGTTGTGCGCCAGGCGTTGAAGGAAGTCGAGCTTGACTCTTCGCGACGCGTTGAGCTCGAGGATTATGTTAGCGTACGTTTCGAATGCTCGCATTAGCCCTTCTACACGCACTAACCATACCGCGCCAGCTCGTTGCCAAGCTTCGCGATTCATCGCCTGCTCAGAAGCGCATGTCCACGGGACCAACTCCTCCCTCTGCAGGTGGCGGTGTTGTCGCGCAACGTACTGGAGGCCATGCTTCCAAGGGTAGCGTGAGCGGAAAGATCCAGGTCCAGGGCTCTAATGCCAACATCACTCACACCATTAATGAGGATGAACGCACCGAATTTACCCGTCACATCAATGCCGTGCTGGCTGGCGATGCTGATATTGATAGTCGCCTCCCCTTCCCCACCGATACCTTCGAAATGTTCGACGAGTGCAAGGATGGCTTGGTTCTAGCCAAGCTCATTAACGACAGCGTTCCCGATACAATTGACGAGCGTGTCCTTAATATTCCCGGCAGGAAGATCAAGAACCTCAATGCTTTCCACATGAGTGAGAACAACAACATTGTTATCGAGTCTGCCAAAGGTATCGGCTGTTCTGTTGTTAACATTGGTGCTGGTGATATCATTGAGGTTCGAGAACATCTTATTTTGGGTCTCATCTGGCAAATCATTCGACGAGGATTGCTAGGAAAGATCGATATCAAGCTCCATCCTGAGCTGTATAGACTGCTTGATGAGGACGAGACACTTGAGCAGTTTCTCCGCTTACCCCCCGAGCAAATTCTTCTCCGGTGGTTCAATTACCATCTGAAAGCTGCTAACTGGCCCCGCACGTAAGTTTTGTCTGACATGGTTTGTCTTTTGTGAAACTAACCAGTCTTAGCGTCAAGAACTTCTCCTCTGATGTTAAGGATGGTGAAAATTATTCGGTTCTGCTGGCGCAAATTGGTCCCGAGTATGGCGTTACCCGTGCGCCATTACAAAAGCAGGATCTACACGAGCGAGCTGAGGCAGTTCTACAAGAAGCAGACAAGCTCGGATGCCGCAAGTTCTTGACACCAAAGTCACTCGTCGCTGGTAATCCCAAGCTCAACTTGGCGTTCGTCGCCAATCTATTCAACAACCACCCCGCCCTTGATCCCATCACTGAGGAAGAAAAACTCGAGGTTGAAGATTTCGATGCGGAGGGTGAACGCGAGGCTCGAGTCTTTACACTGTGGCTGAACAGCCTGGACGTCCAACCTGCAGTTGTCTCGTTCTTTGATGACCTTAGGGATGGCAGTATTCTCCTTCAGGCTTACGAGAAGGTCATCCCAGGCTCTGTCAACCCCCGTCACGTCAACAAGAGACCAGCGCATGGAGGTGAGATGTCGAGATTCAAGGCCGTCGAGAACACCAATTACGCGATTGAGCTTGGAAAGCAAAACGGGTTCTCGCTAGTTGGCATCCAAGGCGCTGACATTACTGATGGGCAAAGGACCTTAACTCTGGGTCTTGTGTGGCAACTCATGCGCAAGGACATCACCGTTACTCTATCTTCACTAGCTCAGAAACTGGGCAAGCGAGAAATCACCGACTCTGAGATGGTGCGATGGGCAAATGATATGTCACGAAAGGGCGGCAGGAATTCTTCCATCCGCTCTTTCAAGGATCCTTCAATTGGATCTGGTATCTTCCTTCTGGATGTTCTGAATGGAATGAAGAGCAGCTATGTCGATTACGATCTCGTTACATCTGGACAGACTGACGAGGATGCTTACTTGAACGCCAAGTTGAGTATCAGCATTGCTCGAAAGCTCGGCGCGACCATTTGGCTGGTTCCCGAAGATATCTGCCAAGTCCGCAGCCGCCTAATCACCACCTTCATTGGTAAGTTCTATTGTCAAAAAGCTCCCAGGTACAATATGCTAATGCGACTGCTAGGTTCTCTTATGGCTACCCACGAAAGGATGTAGATCTAGTTTGGGACTTCTTTGGCGATGGCGCGATCGGGGGCGTGGTTATTCGTATGCAAGAATATTCGATATTTTATAAAAGCTCTGGTTCCAAAAACCATCATATTGCCAACACAGTGCCATTCATCATTTCGATAGATGTGATCATCTTCTATCTTATTGCCAATCTAGGTGGCGAGGATTTTATGCGGGAATAGAGATCAATGTGGCATTTCTAATTATCGCCGGCGAAAGTACTCTCTCAGAGGATCAAATACAAGCTACACAACAGACTTGGTCCTGTAAAAATACCCAACCAAAAGATCAAGTTACCTAGTGTCTTGCGCCCACGCAACCACTTGGTGCGGCTGAGCCTTACTAACTGTGAACCAGTAAGTCGTCAATCCAGAGTTCGGGTCACGAAAACTCACTGGTAGTTGGCACATCTGGAGGAACAAGAGATAGCCTCTCAGCTTCTTAAATAGACACCACATGACCAATTCGTGGACGCAGGCCGAAAGAAAGAATGTAATCAGTGTGGCTGTGTGCTTGTTGACCTTCAGAGATGATATAGAGCTATGATAGACGTGGCGGAGAAGAAAGACGTGAACAGGTCGATTCCAGTCCCGGGCGAACTGATCCCAGGAGACTAGTGAGCAGATATCAGTTATATACCTACATTATCGAGAACAAATATCGAATGACTTACCGCTATTCCACCACGCATCATAAAAGTTTCGATCGGCAAAATATGTCAACTCGGCCAGGATATTCAGGATAGTTTCCCATATGAGATACCAGACAAGCTAAGTTGTGTTAGAACCAAGTGCAGATTGCGAGGATTCCTATCTGCTCACCAGATACTCCATCATAAAAGGGAAGATAAGATCGAGAAGGAACCCTGGAAACTCCTCAAATCTCCCAGCCAGTGGTACACCATTCTCCTTCATCTCAATGGTCTTCATGACGACGGGATCTATGAGTTTCTGTTAGCATGACAAATGGCAGTTTCTAGAGGAACGTAACCGACAAATAGAGTGCTGCGAGACCTGAACCATCACAAATAGAACCCCAAACATTGCAGTAAACTTCTCCAATACGTACGACCAGTCGATAGAATCGGATCGTGGGTACTCTATCTCATAAACAAGAGTTGGCAGAGGAATCCATTTGTAGTGATCGATGAAAGACAGGTTGTTGGGGTAAGCTTTGCCTATGGTGGCTGCTGTTCCCTTGAGCTCATCAGTCATTGCATCCACCTCCCACTTCATGATGCGCTCAAAGAGAGCAACTTGCTCGTCGTCCAGGGGCTGATGAGAAGCAATGGCTCTTGAAATCTTGTCTATATCACTTTCTTCCTGGCCGGGTTGCGCAGAGATGGACTTTCGGCGCTCTTCGGCGGAAGGGGTAACACTAAGGTGTTGTGTTGAGATGGCTGATGCTGGGGGTTCAGTCTGCGATGGGGTCATGGCTGGGTCAACTAGGTCAAGTTGCCTAAGCTTCTTCATTATCTTGGCACGCTGTTTATAGACTGTCGATAAGTGGCCGTTATAGAAGGCGTAAGAGTGTTGCTTCATCAGCATGACGATACCATGAAGTACAAAAAACACAGTATGAGTCCATGGCCAGTCACGCCAGAGAGTCAGGCCAACAACGCCAGCCAGAAATGCCGTTTGCCACATCTAGGAACATCATCCATGAGCTTTAGCCCCAGGCTGTTGTATGACAATTGTAACTTACATTCTGTATAACCCATCCAGCACCATCCCAGTTGAGGTAGTTGGCAGATACAAGCCTTTGAATCATCCAAGTCACTGCTGTGAGGGCACACATGATGCCATCCGAGAGAAGAAGGACGACAACTTTGATACAGTCAGTCTCGCGAACCCAGAAAGAGGAAGAGCTAATGTCATGTCATACCATCTCGATGGAACATAGTCTGCACGATCTCGTTCGTCCCCAGAGGGTTTCCGTAGACTTGCCAGTTCTGGACCGAGATCTTGAAGACGAAAAGAGTAACTGCGAGCCAAAATAATGTATAAAACCCATGAAATGGACTGTTCGACGCTGATGGGCTATGACGGTCGAAGGCTGAGAATTGGCTTGTGAAGACAAGATCGGCAAACTTTCGCTGTCTCTGCTTTGGACCGATCGATTCTTGTGACCACTCTGAGCTAGTTTTAAGCAGCCGTTGCAGGCTATTGTCCTCATCTAGAACAAGATGGATACCTGAGTCACGGCGCTTGAAGCTCAATCCAGGCTCTTGTTGCAGTTTTTCAAAATCAGTACCAGACAGGGATATGGTTTGTGGTCGAGGATGGACACGATGGGCATAACGATGCCGGACACCTGATGGCTCTGTCAGGGTCGGTCGAACATTCTCATCGTAATCCTCTTCACTCGGTGTTTCAGAGCCAAGTCCTGGGCTGGGCCCGTCAATTGTCATACCAGCGGCTCGTAAAGCTTCCCCGAGTGATCTCGGTGCTGGTCGTTGGAGTTCCGGGGCCGGCTGCCCAGTACTCCGGCCGCCGGAAAGCGGGGACCTTCCCGGTGCAGTTGAGGATACCATTGGGGTTGATGATGATAAGTAAGGCAGGCTGAGGATAATTTAGATAGATGACTCGAGTTCTTGTCGAAATAGATAGGCTGCTCAAGTAATTGCAGACCTGATGATGCCCTCCTATGCCGGTCTGGGGAAGTTTGTAAAAACTCTAATAAATCAATTAAATATTCATTCAATGTTCTCAGAGAGACAAATCAATACGTGGAATTATGGGAGAGCTATCAAAGAGAAGTAACTGCGGCCTTTTTAAGATAACTGTCAAATGAGCTTGTGCATGAATATGATCGGATGCCACGGGCTGAAGATCAAAAGACGCAGCCGGCATTTGATAATGCGCGCGGATGCCGGCCTTTCACTATTTTCTGATGAGTCCGAGGTTGCCGTTGATGGGGAAAGCTGGAAAACAACCATGCTCATTATCTTGCTTTGTTGGATAATGAGGCTTGTGAGACTGACTGATGGCGTAAAGTATTAGGAAAACGTCATTTCGCAAAGCGCTTCGGCCAATGGGCCCTCCACTACCTACCTACTTTTCCACAGCATTGGCCAGCAGACGTGGATGAGGCTTACACACACTGTCGGGACGCTCAGTAACAAAGAGACTAGGTACGACTACCAAGTACCTCGTGGATAGATAACACAACAGGCTTCTCTAGTATGGTTTCTGAGTAACATGTGCCTTAATACCCCTGGATGATCAGTCAAGTCACGAAGTCGTACTTTGATCTTGTTCCTCCTCCTGCATATAAGGCATGTAGTGAATCAAGCTAGGTTAGTACCTTAGTAGTTAGGTACAGCCAGCAATGTGTCATCCACCTTAGTATATCATCGACATATTCAAATCATCGTCGCATGATTCAAGATATCATGGCAAGGATTGACTCTAATGAGGCTTAGCCATCAATTGCATATGCCCGTCTCTATTTCACAATCATCTTGACCTCAAGATCCAGGGTGGCATGTGACTTGACTTGACGATAAAAGGGCTACATATCATAGTAATTGGTAGCTCAGCAAATCTAAGGTCTTACTGAAAGACGTGACATCATGGCCTGTGATTACGGATAGGTAGGCGCTCACAAAACACCGACAGGCAGTCGGTATGAATGTGAATTGCCTCCACAAATTTATACGAGCCATCCATCCATGTGTCGGATTCCGGGCTTGTATAGAGCGCGCGTTCCTATTGAGCTCCGTGTGCCGATCTAAATACCGACCACGAATAGAGCTTCTGGTTAACTACCGGAGGAGACAATGACATACATAGGCAGATCAGATCCCTCGGCATCACTCACGGAAATCATGTAGGGCCCGAATTCTCTACATCACTCACGGTTCATGATGCTTCCAAGCAAGGCTGAAAGCGGGTCCTGCGGCTCCTGCCCATTTCGCTGAACGTCTTCCAAGTTGGCTAGACTTGTTTCATTGGCTGCAGAGTACCTACCTGGCAGGGTAGCTGCATTATGTCAGCTTTCCGCCGCTAAATTTTCCGTACCAACACTCGTGACCGCATCGTGCAACTTCAACGCTGTTTAAGGTTACACTATCATCGACACGTTTCCATCAATATTCTCCTTCCCCCAGCACTTTTCGGGACTGCTGCATCAGTTTCATATTCGTTCTTATCACCCAGCATCTCTAGTTTGACTAGACAACAATGTCTCGTGGCGGCACCACTCTCTACGTGACCGGCTTTAGCCACGGCACCCGCGCTCGCGACCTCGCCTACGAGTTCGAACGGTATGTCAACCTCGTCCACGCCCACGCCCACGCCCTCGCCCACGTCCGCGTCCTATCGTTCTCGCGCGCGCCTTCGTCCATGTCTATGCCATGAGCTGGAGGCTTTTTCTTTTTATGGTCTTCAGCCTGGCCCTGACGCCTCGCCGTCTATCGTCGTCCTCGCGCCATCGTCCTCTCGTTCCGTCCGCGCCCACGTCCCCAGCACTCTCTCCTTCCCTGTCTTTTCACATTAGTCGATGGGACTGCTTGTCCATTGTGCAGTCACATCTCGATTAAGTTGGCGCGGAGTCTTTCGAGATCCGACGTGCGAATGCGCATAGCGTTCATTTCAAAAAGGGGGCATCTGCCGGCGTTCAGCTGCGTTACAATGTGTTCTGTAGTATACTGACCTTGAATCTGATAGCTACGGCCGACTGGTTCGCTGCGATATTCCCGCACCCCGGTCTACGTCTTCCCGGCTGTAAGTATGCTCTACTCTCAATTTGGCGTGCAATCGAGCTGACATGGCAGTAGCTTCGCTTTCGTTGAGTACGAGGACCGTCGTGATGCCGATGATGCCTACCATGAGATGCACAACAAGCGCATCGGTCGCGATGACATTTTGAAGATTGAGGTATGCAGCCCAAGCAAGACATTCGAAGCGCAATTACTAATTTAGCATCAGTGGGCTCGTACTCCTCCCTCTGCTTCATGGCGCTTCGAATCTGGACGCGACCGTGACCGACGTGGTGGCGCTCGCTCCCCTCGGCGTGGACGCTCTCCTTCTCCTCGCCGCAGCACTCGCGATTATTCTCCTCGCAAGGACGACCGTAGGGACCGTGACCGAGACTATGATCGCGAGAGCCGACGTGACAGGGATCGGTCTCGCAGCCCTGACCATCGGTATATTTTCAATTTGGCGCTCCAATGATGCACATGCTAATCAGACGGCAGGGACCGTGAGCGTGACTCCAAAGATGACCGTGATGATCGTGACCGACGGGAGAACGGTACGAATGGTGACGAGCGCAAGGGTATGTCTTCCAACTCTTGAACCACTTGACTTTGGCTCACTCTGGGTACAGCTCTCGATAGTCCTCCTCCTGCTCACGACGATCTTGATGTTGCCGAGTAGACGTCTCTCTGACAACAAGAGACTCCTTGTCATTTCTGACCAGGCTACTCAAGTAAAAGTTTCTGCGATCTGCTTAGGGCCGACATTGCTCCCTATATTTGACAGGTCCACTGTGTAATATTGTTTGAAAGGCCCAGCCAATACGGCATGGAACGTATAAGATTCTGCGGATGCCATGTTGGGTCGGATATGGGTGCATTGTTTTTTTTCCAAGACTGAAGGCATTTGCCACGGCGCGTTTCCTTTGGAAGTTATCATTTCGTAGGTAGTTTATCTGTAGACTGTTTTGTAACACGATTCGGCGCAACGGGTCAACGATCTGTCTGTATCGCACAATTCTCGAGCCTCCTTTGCACTGACACTTTTAAACATACACCAGATGACGATGACGTTGTGCATTTCAGGGCTGTGACTGGTTCCGTTCATGCGGTCGCGCTACAGAGCATAGGGATTTATGGTGGCCAGTCACCATGAAACTTGTGTCTTCCCCAGCCCCTTGCCCCTGTGCCTAGCTGAAAGGAGTCTGATCAATGGCCGACTTTAGTGACTAGCTAGTAGCTAAGGTATTCTTGAGTCGGCGCCTCTCAGATTCCACCTTCAAATAAGATCCATCAGAGACGACTCTGGCATGTGGATGGGCACAGGATAACGTTACCGCGATACCGCACTGGGTCAGATGCGTACAAGATCCGCACATTCTTTATTTGCACAAAGCACCAGTTTTTACCACTGCTGCCAACCTGCCCCGTACATATGACCACTTGGACGCATCTGCTCGTTGTCATATGCTCTCTACTTACCCTGTAGCGCAGAGAGCCACTGACCCGGCTGCGAGACCTTTCTACCCCACAGTCAAGCGTTCCAGGTCCTAGTTACTTCTACTTCTACTTCTCCCGAGCGGAAACCGGGGGACCACGCGCGCGCCCCGAAGTCATCCGCAACGCCGGTTCACGCGCCCCCATCCGCTCCTTGACGACGGCACCGGTCCCGTCTCCCGTCCGTCAACATCCTCTTCCCATCATCGATCAAGGCTGTTCATATAAAGACGATACCTGCCCAACCGCTGACGAACCTAATCGCCTATAATCCGCTCGCACGCCCTGTCGTGTGTCGGTTCTGGCGCAGACTCGAAAACTTCTCCCCAAATGGTTGCTTTCACTCTATCCTCACCTCGACCTTCCAGCATGCCATTACTATTCTTTCAACCACAGTAACAATTGGAGACACAATCGTTTGACAGGGAACACCTAATACCGGAGACGATATTCAAATTTTGAGGCCACCCGCCACTGTCGCAATCGAGGTTGAGATCTAGCAACTACTTTAAACCTGGCGCTTTCAACAAAGACGAAGCCTTGTCTTGGGACCAATTGCCATTGTCTCACATACGACGCAATACGTTCGCATGTCTCCCGTCGCCATGTCCACCTCCACCGTACGTCATGCATGCGCCGACTGTTGACTGGGATGCAGTCTTGTTGCAAAATCATTTTTCTCATGAAAGATTTGCTAATCAGGTACTATAGTCACAACCAGACATGGTCAATTCGACCGAGGCTGCGGCCCCCAGCCGCTCCATGCAGTTCCGGGAGACCATCTCTCAGCCTGTGATCGCCGCATTCTGCGCAGGAGGTGTTGCTGGCGCTGTCTCTCGAACCGTCGTATCCCCCCTTGAGCGGCTCAAGATCCTCATGCAGATCCAAAGCGTCGGACGAGATGCGTACAAGCTGTCAGTGGGGAAAGCCCTGAGTAAGATGTGGAAGGAAGAAGGCTGGAGGGGATTCATGCGAGGCAACGGCACAAACTGTATCCGCATCGTCCCATACTCTGCTGTGCAATTCAGCAGTTATAACTTTTACAAGCGGGTATGTAATGCTTCAGGCGAGGCTCACGCCCATACCCAGCAAGCTAACACATACGCAGAACATCTTTGAAAGCTACCCGGGTGCTGACTTAGCACCGATTACTCGCCTTATCTGCGGTGGCATCGCTGGTATAACGTCTGTCTTCCTTACCTACCCTCTCGACATTGTTCGCACACGGTTATCCATCCAATCTGCAAGCTTTGCCGAGCTAGGAAACAGGCCAGACAAACTGCCTGGTATGTGGACTACTCTGGTGCAAATGTACAAGACCGAGGGTGGCATGTCTGCTCTATATCGAGGCATTATTCCTACAGTTGCCGGAGTAGCACCATACGTAAGCCCCTAATTTCCCACCTGCATTAACATACAAGTTTCAAGAACTGATTGATTCCTCCAGGTCGGTCTTAATTTCATGGTTTACGAATCAGTCCGAAAGTACTTGACGCCAGAAGGAGAGCAAAACCCCAACGCAACCCGTAAGTTGCTGGCCGGTGCCATATCTGGAGCTGTTGCACAAACTTGCACATATCCCTTGTAAGTAACTCTGCTGTAACAATTATGTGATCGCTCTGCTTACAGAACACACAGCGACGTTCTACGGCGCCGATTCCAGATCAACACCATGTCAGGCATGGGCTACCAGTACAAGGGCATTACAGATGCGATCCGGGTCATTGTGATGCAAGAGGGAATCAAGGGACTTTACAAAGGCATAGTGCCTAACCTGCTCAAGGTTGCCCCAAGTATGGCATCAAGCTGGCTGAGTTTTGAGATGACCCGTGATTTTCTCGTCGATCTCAGGCCCGAATCTGAGCCACGCTCCTTGTGATTTTATATAGATATGTGAAGATAGTTTGTACTACAGAAGGGGTCTCTTTTCAGGCATGGCTTTTGGCATTGGGGGAAGAACAAAAAAGGAAACGGACTGGCGCAGTCATGGGAGACGTCAGGGGCGTAGATTTGTACAGTCATGGAGCAGTGGGAGCAAATGGCACAACCTTTGGTGCGAGGCCTGTCATATACATTACTGGATGATGCATAGAGGTTAAGAAGATCTGGCTGCGGATACGGGGCAGAGACACTTGAATTGATAGACAAATACCATCGTAGTCCCTATAATGCATCACTTGAATGGCTACAAGTAAGACCTTCTTCATGTCTTCGCTTCGGGATGTTAGAGGTATGTTTGCATCATTACCTGATATATCTCACCATCATGGCGCTGGTAAAGTCGTAGAATGGCAGCATGATTAGAACACCTATAAATGATCCTTGCCTGAATTGAAGATATGCGTTAGGAATGGTCCATGGTCAAAGATACTATGGGTACATAGTAAGTTGACGAAGTGATAGATAGCCCCCAGACCGAGGTGAGTTCGGTGACAGCCGTCCTTAAGCTGACCTGGGAACCTTGCCTAGAGTGGTTAGCTCCATTTTCGGTGGTGAACTCCGGGGAAAGGACCCAAGCCCTAACTGCCGTCAATGACCGCCCTCAATCGGGGAAGAGCGAGCTGCACCGACCCACCATCCCAAGGCCTGAATTTTTTTTGAAGGAAAGTGCTGTTCGACGCATCCGCCTCTATACCCAACATCGCCAAATTTCACAGCGACAACCGCCGCCATGGGTACGTGAAGATATTGAAGTTCAGCCTCTGTATGCGAGTAGAGAAGGAGTGCGCTATCGTGCCTCTTTCTCTGCGACCAAGGCACCATCTTGTTCGCGAAAGCGCAAGACAGAGTTGCCCATTTTTGAGCATGCTTGAACCAAATGGCTGACGATGGCTTCACCTCACAGGTATCGATCTCGACCGCCACCACGTCAAGGGCACTCACCGCACTGCCCCCAAGAGCGACAATGTCTACCTCAAGCTCTTGGTGAAGCTCTACCGCTTCCTGGCCCGTACGTCCAATCCCCCACCTGAAAGCGCACAAACTCAATCGAGAACTTTCAATTAACCATTTCCTCACATTGTGTAGGCCGAACCGACTCTTCCTTCAACAAGGTCGTTCTCCGACGTCTCTTTACGTCCAAGATCAACCGCCCTCCCGTCTCCCTGTCCCGAATTGTCGCCAACATCAACAAGGAGGGTGAGAAGCGAACCGTCGTTGTTGTCGGTACCATCACCGATGACAACCGCCTGCTCGAGTTCCCCAAGGTGACTGTCGCTGCTCTGCGATTCACCGCCACTGCCCGCGCCCGCATTGTCGCCGCTGGCGGTGAGGCCATCACCCTGGACCAGCTTGCTCTCCGTGCTCCCACCGGAAGCAACACCCTGATCCTCCGTGGCCCCAAGAACGCCCGTGAGGCTGTCAAGCACTTTGGCTTCGGGCCCCACAGCCACAAGGTAATATTGTCTACTGATGGCGTTTCTGCACCAATCTCTAACACCCACTGCAGAAGCCTTATGTCGAGTCCAAGGGCCGCAAGTTCGAGCGTGCTCGTGGCCGAAGACGTTCGCGCGGTTTCAAGGTCTAAGCGACTGGTTGGGGAAAAATATTGGCCTTGGGTGGAGTTTGGGCCAGGTTATGCGGCAAATGATGCCAAAATACGACTGGCAAATGGGTCTTGCATGGAATTGGCGTGCCTAGGTATCACAAAATTCTACAATGAAATTCTCGCGCATTACTGCTGTCATGATGCTGTTCGCTTCTATGTGATTGCAGATGGTATGCCCACCCCTGGCACCATTCATCTTAAAGGATTATAAGACAGCAAATCCAACTCCACATGACTCCTATAGATACACATGTTGTACACATCCACCGAGACCTATTCGTCTATGTCCGTGGGTTCTATCGTAATACCAGATTTCCTCCGTAGGCCAATAAAGTATGCTTCCCGGCTCTCCTACCCAGGGAATTAGTAAGTTGTATCGAGGCCTGGAGCATCATGATTCAACTTCGGGGAGTACCTTTCTTGAAGAATCAGGCTTCTCTCTGAAAACTTTGGTGAAGAGAGTTTTCAACTTTTTCTCGAACTCCTTGTCCTCGGGTCCCTGGTAGAATTTACAGACGAAATGTCCCCCAGATCGAAGAGTGTCGCTAGCAAACTGTAGAGCAGCAGCGCAAAGGTCCTTTGCTGAAGTGTTAGTACAGGTTACTTGTGACATGATTCAGGAGCCTCTACCATACTGCCCACATGGTCACGGAAGCCGTTTCCGCTCGTGTTCATCAACCTATGATAGGGATTACTCAATGTCTTCACGCTAAAGCCGGTGGTCTGCTCCCAGGGTGCTGACATGTCACTCAAAACAACCTGCTAGAGTATTAGTATATTGAAAGGGTTTCTAGAAAGAAGGAATCGACAAACATCAACGATGCGCTTGCTTGGTCCTTCTAGTCCAGATGCTGGTGGCTCGTTTTGCCCCGTGTGTCGTTCCATATCGAGATAGCTAGGGTGGTCGACCGTGATGCCTTCTTCTGCGACAGAGCTGTCGGATTCCACCGTTTCCTGACCAATAGATGGGTTCTGATGGCTTTCAAGAATGAAATTTTTGACCATCTCCTGAACAGCTGGCGAAAGAAAATCGCCCTGAAATGTAGCTACACCACGAGGCGGTTGGGCTGGGATGAGGTCGATACCAATGACCCGGCCATGCGGTCTCGTCCTTTCCACAGCAACCTTGATTTATCAACAAGGCCGTTCACTTCGATGGCACTGAGTCTTACCTGTGACCAACTGCCTGGTGCATATCCCTTGCGGGAGTGAGCTCAACGATTCACATGTCGCTAGCAGAATGAGAGGAGAACTGGACTTACCAGGTCAACCACTGTCTGCCCATTGCCTTTGAACAGCTTGTACTTGGAGTCCATCTAGCCACTATATTAGCTTGCATCAACGTAATCCGATGAGTGGAGTAGAATATACTTCTAGGAGCTTGAAAGCTGCTCGGCTTTTGAGCCCTTGAACCTTTGCACCTCGTGCATATGCGTCACGGCCTTGTCGCTGTTTCCAACGAGACCCTGATGAGGACCATCGGATCGGTTCAGCAAATGGTCGTGAGTGAAGCAAACATGGGCCGAGCTTCCAGCCCAGGCTTGGGAACAACGAAGGCAGTCGGATGTTCATCAAATTTGACGAGTTGAAGTAGATGTTCTTGGTGATAAAACTCTTCGTAGCTATCCCCCAAATACACTGGTTGGGGGGGGCAGGCTTTAATTAGAATCGGTGCAACACTGACAGGCAACTTGTTGTAATATCAGTATCTGAGCATAAGGAGGTTGGTGTAATGATCTTATTCACAGTACTGTCATTATTACTGGTTGTAGAGAGCAAATAGTGGTCATTCACAAGATCCCTTGATACCTTACCTGCTAAGGCATGAGGAACTAGGCTAACCTATACCTTATGCTGCCATATATTCAAACCTTCCAAACATTGATGGAATCAGAGTACATGTCAATACTGAGCATGGGTGAACACAAAACGTTAAGGCAGATAAGAAACAGTCATTATCTCAATTCAAAACCTTTGCGCCTACCGAGCAATCCTTAACCCAATACTGCCGCTATTTCAGATAACAAACAGCACAAAAGCAAACGCCATGCCATGCGATTTCCACATCTGCCCCTTAATAAGATAATTATACACTTTCCTTAATGTAAGAAACTGGCTCCCACTCCTCGCCTGTCCTTCTTCAACGGCGAGAATGTTGCTCCACCGAATGCACCACGAACATTTCCCAGCGGTGCCTTGAGCCTACGCCCGGCCCCCATCTGAATCTTTGCTGGTCTAGGAGCTGGTTCCGCCTCCTCATCATCGAACAGAGTCTTGTTGCCACCACCAAGCACTTTTCGCTTCTTTTTGCGTGTATCTGCATCATCATTTCCATTTCTCAACGACGCCGTAGCAAGGTTCGACTTCAGCAACCCCGGCACCTTCTTGGGCTTCTCGATAGGTTCAGTTTCCGGTTCGTCAGCCTCGTCAACTTCGGCTATCATCTCGATTCTACTAGAAGTCTTGGCTACCCTGGCCTTTCTCTTTGCCTGAACCGGCATATTCTTCTTCGTTGTTGGTGCCTCGTCCAGGGCTTTCCTTGGTCTGCCCCGGGTCTTCTGTGCCTTTGGCTGCTCCTCTTCCTCGGGGGCAGCATCATCCTCAGCTTGATGATCTGGCTCTGCAGCCTCCTCTATGGGCTCCATAGACATAGAATCGCCAGGTTCTGGCGCAACATCTTGAAAGGCAACAGGTTCCGAGGCGCCTGTAGACTTCCCAGTGGGTGAGTGAAGTTCGCTTAGCTCATCTGACATGTTCTCCGAGAGATTCTTGGTACGGTTCAAAAAGGGCGTGATTGAGAACGTCGACTTCTCTCCTACCAAGGCGCGCTCAGCACCTCGTTTCTTGGAAGGCCGTCTCAAGGTTGCCTCATCTGGGCCTGGGGTTCCGATGCTGACGTCTTCCATGCTCAGGTCCTGGGCTCTCTTCTTTCCAATGGGATGTTCATTCATCGTGACACTCTTCTTGCTTGTCTTGTTAGTCGCCAGAGCCTTACGAGCTTCCTCCAGTTCAGCGCGACAAGACGCGAGCTCAGCTCGTGTGTCCTTGAGGTCTCCCTGAGTCTTCTTCAGTTTGCTTCTTGTATCCTCCACGCGGCCTTCGAGCATGTCACATTCACCGCGGACTTCCCGTAGCTCTCTGGTGTGTTCTTTCTTAAGCTTCTCCAGTTCTCTCTTCGCTTCGTCCAATTGTTCCTTCACTTGATCATTGTCATGATTCTTGGATTGCATGCGTTTTTTTGATCGCCTCTCATTTTCGAGTTCCACCTCAATGGAACTAAGCTGACGCTCGAGATCCTGCTTCTGGGCGACGACGGCGCGATGATTTTCGAGTTGCGTCTTGAGATGTTCAAGCTCGGGCTGGATCTGGTCAAGCTTGTGGCTGAGGGCGAGTTTCTCCTGCAAGACCTTGTTTGAGTCTTGTCTGAAGTCATTCAAAGAATTGATTTCGGTCTGGCTTTGTGTCAGGCGGACTTTCTGATGACTGTGAACCATACCCTACCTTGAGGCCTTCCAGCTCGTTGCCTTGTTTTCTGAGCTGCATTTCTTGAGCTTTCAGCTTCTCCTTCGCTTCGGCAAGCTCCACATGCACATCTTTCCCCTTTTTCGTCATCTGCTTTACGAGAGCATCTCGTTGAACCAGCCGATCCTTCAGGGACGAATTTTCGTCACGAAGCGTTAAGAGTCGCAGCTTCAGGAGACGAGCTTCCTCATCACGGCCTGTTAAGTCAATCTGATGGACATTTTCTTGGTGTCTCAACTCAAGGTCACTGATGCGAGCCGCGCGCTGTACTCTATAGTCAGTTCTGCAGTTGAAGTAGCCGTTTCACGCGTAAATCTACCTCTGTGGACTTGGTCCTTTTCATGTTTGCCAATGTGATGCTGCTGACGAGACAGGCTTGTTGCAGTTAAAAAAGCCGGTACAACTTCTGACAGCTGAGTATACTGAAGCCCTGGCAGATGCAGACTCTAACGAAAAACTGACATGCAAGGCGGACCAAGTCGAGGTGGGATGAATCGTTATGGAAGACAGCCGAAGCCAATATAAGTGCACTGCCTTAGTACCTTATGTTTTGGCGACTTGGTATAAGCGTAAACATGTTGCTGCATCCAGATTTAGCGCTGATGCTATCGATAATGCTTTCACGTGATCAATACTCGTTCGTCCAATGACGCCACAGACGTCCCCGCCAGCTCGAAACGTCTGCTTAGGTAAGGCGCTTTGCTCGATTGAGAGGCCACCTCAGCTTCACTGGCATTATAGCTACAGCTTCCGCAAGCAAGGTGGTAGATATAGCTTCAACAGTCTCCTACTTCTTTACTTACGGGCCAATTGGCCCCCCCCCCCTTTTCTCCTTCTTTGAACGAACACCATCAATTTTTCTTGTCAACATGCGTTTCCTACGTTCACTTCTCTCTTTTGCCGTTCTTGCCACGGGCGTGGCAGCCGCCAAAAAGTCCTCCACTGAGCGGTTTGATGAATTCCATGCCAAGCAGAGCTCGACACCGCTCAAGCTGAAGGAATCGACATATAAAACCCTGACCTCTACACCAAGAGACTACAGTGTTGCTGTGCTCCTCACCGCTGCCGATGCCCGGTTTTCCTGCCAGCTCTGCCGCGAGTTCCAACCTGAATGGGACTTGTTGGGCAAGAGTTGGGCCAAGGGTGACAAGGCCGGCAACTCACGACTGATTTTTGGCACTCTGGACTTTGTTGATGGCAGAGAGATTTTTATGTCGGTATGTACTATGCAAGATCGGAAGCTGTAGTGTCAATTTGGTTGCTGACGCTATGAATGAAGCTTGGCCTTCAAACTGCCCCTGTCCTCCTCTTATTCCAGCCCACTGTCGGTCCCCATGCTGCTCAAAAGCCAGAGCCACTGCGATACGACTTCAGTGCCGGGTGAGTAGTTTTGTCCACGGCCCTTCTGGGCGACTGACTAACAAGCAATATTCAGACCCCCGACTGCCGAGAAGGTTCACTCCTGGCTCGCTCGTCAGCTGCCCGACCGACCTCATCCTGCTGTCAAGCGACCTTTCAACTATGCGGGTTGGGCGATCACCATAACCATCATCCTTGGAGTTATTACTGCAGGTGTTGTGGCTTGGCCGTATGTGTCTCACATTCTGCAGAGCCGCAACCTCTGGGCAGCCTTGTCCTTGATGACCATTCTCTTGTTCACCAGCGGACACATGTTCAACCATATTCGCAAAGTTCCCTACGTCACTGGTGACGGACGTGGTGGAGTTAACTACATCGCGAGCGGTTTCCAGAACCAACTTGGCTTGGAAACACAAGTGGTGGCAGCAATTTGTATGTCTCGTCTACTCTCCTCTTGGCCCTATTCCTTCTTCTGACTGCCCTTTCTAGACGGTGTCTTGTCGTTTTGCGCGATCTCTCTCGCTATCAAGGTTCCACGAATTGCTGAGGCCAAGTCTCAACAAGTCGCAGTCATTGCGTTTGGCGGCGCCCTGTTCCTTGTCAACAGCTTCCTGCTGAGCGTCTTCCGTGTCAAGAACCCTGGCTATCCATTCTCTCTGCCGCCCTTCATGTAAAATCATAAGGTAGGATGAGAACGCAAACAGCCGCCATATGCTTCGGGAGAAGAGGACGCTGTGGACCAGCAGTTACAGGATCAGGAACATCATCGTTTTAGTGAGACTACATATCTTACGACGAGTAGAAGGACAAAAGCATGTTATATGATACTTCCCAAATAGACCTTTGCTTAGAAATGACGGATAAGACGTCAGTATCCTTTACTCCTGATCAATGACGCTCTTGGTTGCGGCTCTGATGTGAATGCTTGGAAACCTTCTGGCCAATGTTGCTTCCCGGCTGGGATTACAAAGGTCAGTCTCACAGTCACAACGTCACATCTCATGCCAAGAACAGACGAAAGATCACTAAAAACCATGAAAATATTTTGAAAACTCGAGTTCTTTATTGGAGAACAAAAGGATGAATCCCGGTAATTTCAGGGGCTGCCTATAACCATCAAATGCGTTATGCCCTCGTCAGATTGTAGTCGCCCCCCTTCCTTTGCATCAATAAAGACCAAACGAGGAAGCCAACCATTTGACGCCCTACCAATGATCTACCTTCTTCCGCTCGCCTTCGTCACCACGCCTCTTTTTTAGGGTAGAGCAATTTATGCCCTCGACATGACACCCCAGGCACGGATGATGTTGTCAGTGTAACCAGCGAACAGAGTCTGGCCATCAGCAGACCAAGCCAAGCTGACACACTCAGGCTCTCGGCTCTTCTTGCCGACAGCGGGGAACTCAGGCTTGAGCTCATCAACCTTGCTCTTCTTCTCGAGGTCGAAGATGATGATGCTGCTGGCAGTAGCAGCGCACAGCCAGTATCTGTTGGGGGAGAAGACAAGGGCGTGGATCTCGTCGTTGGCGTTGAGAGAGTAAAGGTGCTTGGACTCGTTAAGATCCCAGAGCATGGTGGTACCGTCCTTGCCACCGGAGGCGCACAGAGAACCGTCGGGGGAGATGGTGACAGTGTTGATGTAGCCGGTGTGGCCGATGTGGTCAGTCTGGAGCTTGCAGGTGGAGAGCTCCCAAACCTGGACATATTGTCAGAATTAATCAAATCAATGCATATGAGCAGATGAACGGAGCAGAGGGCTATGCAAAAGCTGGGATCAGGGCAATGGTGAATAGTGGTCTCATGGCCTGCGTGAACAGGCTCTGAAGTAGCAAATACTTGGGTTGCAAACATCATGTGGAAGGCGAAGTCACAGTATCTGTCTTGTTTACTGACCTTGACGAGCTTGTCCCAGCCGGCGGAGACAATGACAGGGTTCTGGGGGTTGGGGCTGAAGCGGACGCAAGAAGCCCACTCGGTGTGGCCCTTCTCGGTGATGGTGTACTTGCAGTCACCGAGAGTGTTCCAAAGCTTGATGGTTCGATCGCGAGAACCGGAGACGATCTGGCGGTTGTCGGCAGAGAAGCTGACGGAGAGGACGTCGTTGGTGTGGCCGACGAATCGTCGAGTGGTAGTACCGCTGGCGAGCTCCCAGAGACGCAGAGTCTTGTCCCAAGAGGCAGACAGAGCGTAGGCACCGTCAGAGGAGATGACCTAGTTCCAACAATCAGCCGAGTCCTAAATTACATCTGCCCGCCAAAATGCCATCGTGTGCGGCGGGGCACTGGGTGGACGTACACAGTCGGAGACGATGTGAGAGTGGCCGTGGAGGGATCGCTTGGGGTAACCGTACTGGCTCTCATCGCGAGTGAGGTTCCAGATGATCAGGGTCTTGTCTCGGGAGGCAGACAGGAGCATGTTGGGGCTGGAGAAATAATGTTAGTTTAGTGGCCTCGAAACAAAAGCATGACCAAGGTTGTTCTCGACGTACTTCTCCATGGAGGTAGCCAGACTGGTGACCCAGCCATTCTGCAAATAGTCAGCCTTCAGTCCTTCTTCCCTCTTGGATCTTCTCATTCCACGATGCCAACTGCAGGCATCTTGATTTGTAGCGGGTCGTAGCCAGCGACAGTCGCGACGCAGCAGCCGGCAGCGACAGGAGCAAGGTTTCATGGGGATCGACGTACGTGGCCCTCGAGAGTGCCCTTCAGGATCAATTGTTCGGCCATGTTTGCGGTGACGAGGCGATGCAGAGGATCAAGGTGCTTGAGGAAGAAAGAGAAATCAAAGGCTGCTCTGCAAAACCTAGGCCGAGTCGGAAGGGAAGGCGGGTTGCGAATCGTACCTGCCCTTTTTTTTGTGTGGGTTAAAAATTATAGAAAGTTAGGGCCTTGAGCTCCGCTTCGACATTAGCGGGGTGCGAGAGGCACACGAGGTACGTACCAGCTTGCTCAGGCAAGTCAGGTTTCTGAATTTTCCACCTCAGTTCTGAGCAGTGTGGCGTTATCCAGGTGTGGCGTGGCATAGGTGTGGCTGCCATATACATGGCATGTGGTTGTTCTCCATTCGTGTAAGTCATCGTCATGAGAGATGAGTTACTAGTATCCATTAGGAGATGCATTTCTAACGATGCTTGACGACACGGTTCTCGGCGAGGCAACCGAAGGTGATGCAGCCTCCAAGGTGCCAGCCATCTCGCCAAAACGCCCCCTCCCCTCAGTTCATCTGTTGGGACTCGAATTAGTCGGCAGTTCAAGCCAGAGAGTTTGAGGATCAACATACGCAGACGACGCAGTAACAATGTGGCTTCAAACAATGTCACGTTGTTGCTATCACTCTCAACATGTTTAGAATTTGCACAGAAAGGCTGGGATGCAAGCTCGGAGCACAGTGTTGACCTCGATTTGTTCTCGTTCGGTGTTGTTCTATATCAGCATTCGCTCCATTGCCTTTCTAACCTAAAATAATGCAGTAAGCCTAGTAACGCCTTATGCTCTCCTAGCCAGAGTATTATATACGGGGTATCATGTAAACCATCTTTGTCCGGACTTCTTTTGGTGTTCATGCCGACTTTTTTGCCAAGGCAGCTGAACGTTTACCAGCCTTGGGAACCTCCTTACGCGAGAACAACGCCTCGCCGTTGACGATCATGCTATGGTCGGCGATCTCCATCTGATCGGTATTCTCCCCTCTCCCCTCAGTTGCCATAAATCTCTTCATCGTGGATTCCCATAGACGAAACCGTTCTTTGCCATGTGGATCACGCTCAACTAAATTCTTGACCTCTTTCTGCTTGCGCATTTTGGATGCACGGACTAGTCGTCTAAGAGCATCCTCACCCTGCTGGGCCGTCCTCGCGGCTTCCTCTCGTATTTTCTTCGAGTCTCGAATACTAGTATCCTCCTGAGGAGTGAACTTGTACGTGTGTTTGCTGGGAAAGTCGGGGAAAGAAGAAGGAACATAATCTTTCTCGTCCTTGTCTGGCTGCCCACTGAGCTCTTCCCCCAGAAGTGGTAGGGTCGTGTATGCATCGAGGTCCTCGGGCAGTATATCGACATAACCGGGAAACAGTTGTGTTTTTGAGACAGGAGGCTTCAGGTGCGGTTTCAGCGATGAGACGCTAACATTGTGCCGTCGTAGCGCATGCTCGAAGTCGGTCGGGATAGGATGCTCGCGACGGGCAGCCAGTGCGAGGGTTTTGGCAGCTTCAATCATGCCCTCCAGATCTGAAGTGTATTAGTTATGGAACACCCATCAGGGAGCTGCAGTCAACAACTCACACGTCTCTACCATCCCTGTGAAGCTCTCTATTGCCTCAGGGCTTGCTCCTAGAAACCCATCGTGATTGAGAACCATTGCGATCGAACGCTGAAGTCCCGTTCTAGCTTGATAATGCGGATTCGGTACTGAGGATTCAATCGAGCGAGACTCTTCATCCTCGATCTGCATCGTGATGCTTTCCAAGTCTTCGAAGCGAGGGCGTTTCGGGTTGGGCTGTTGCTCCTCGGCAGGCGATAGACTTCGTTTGGGCGTCATTGCAACGAGGTTGTCAAATACAAGATGGCGACGCGTGTTGGTGCAAGAGTGGAAAAAGTCTTATAAAGTTCCCATGGAAAGGCTGTATATTGTGACGCCTTGTTATATCGAGATCTTTTTGAGGTGTAGGCAATGAGAGGCTACCTAGGTATGCAGAGATCACTTGAGCCGTTAGTGACGAGGCTGAATGCACCTTTGTGATATTTGCAGGAGCTGGAGCAGTTCGATGCCGGAAGCTTTCCCCAGTAGCGCGCCCGGAGAAGCTTCGGCTCATATTGAATGCATGTTTCTCCAGGTCCTCATGGGAACCACCACCTACAACAAAGGATTCACCATTGTTCAGGTATGCCGTTATTATCATTTATGGCATTTGAAAACCCACTGGCTTGCGGAAATCTAGTACTAGGGACATGTCATGCGGCATTGTTCAACATATGGTGCATCGCGATAGCCCAACCTTTATGGATATTCCAGCGAGTTCCCGCTAACAATCTATGCACTTCGAATTGTTGACACCCATTGTCAATGGAATGCTAATTAGTGAAGACGAGTACGCCATGAATGAATATCCTAGGTTCGCAATCAACTAGGAGAGGTGTCGTCGTGGAGAACCCAGGATCTCTTGTGCCGTGTGTGTGTGTGAAATTAATGGCTGTATCAATAGGGTTCTAGACCAAAAGATCGACGCCCGTCGTTGAAGTGTCGCTGTGATTCCGAAACTCGCAAATACAACCCAACCTATTGTAACCCATGCTAGCCATGCTCTGCCATGCTGTCTCACGGCTTCTCACATGCAAGTCGCTAGGATTGTATACATGCCAATCGGCTAAGCAAGAAAGATGTAGCAGTGGACTGCTAACGATTTTGACCGACACTTTGAAACAAGCCTTTTAGAGAAGAAATGAGCCCTGCATTTCGAGGTTTGATGCTGTTGTTTGACCCAGATTGCAGGGTTCCGTCAAAGTGACAGCCTGACAGGCAGATCGATAAATCAACCGCCCACACCTAGACACCAGTCTTGGTCATTAATTGCCTACATCTGCAGGCTCTCACTCTATTACTCGCTCAGTTAATACGCTTCAACGTCAAAGCGTATCACGACAATCTCAATTTTCGTCATCTCCACAGATACTTACCTACGGCCCCTGGGACCCTTCCAGCAAAGAAATAATAAGCTTACCTTATGGCACTTCTTTAGTCGGTTCGAGGCCCTTCGATCTCTTATCCTCACCACCCACCTCCTACCAACACACACTGAAAAAACAGATGATACCTGAAACAAATGTACGAGTCAGAAACGATACAAGCACAGACTGAGTGGCCGATTCTCTTGTAAATATATCTATCAACCTTAGTACCTTATAATCACCAAGTAGCACAAGGAACACACGAATCCTAAAAGGTACCTATTCAGACGCCCCTTACCCTACACAATTATTCAATTCCCTTGCCACATCACAAAGAGTTTGACTTCAATGAGGCCCTAAAGCCCGCAATACCAAAGCTATCAATCCCACCCTGCCCGTCCATTTACATATCTTGCCTCAAATACCGAGGGCTGGACTTTCGGTGGTATCATTGACCCACGTGTTAACTCGTTTCGCCAGCGACACAGTCAGTTCCCTTTCGTATTGCTGCCACCTTCAACATGTTTCCTTTCGACCAAGCTTCCCTCCCTCAAATAACAACCCGCAAAGCCCTTATTGGTGTGGATTTTCAGCATGACTTCATATCCAAGGATGGAGCTTTACCTGTCCACGAGCCGGAGGACTTTGTGGACCAGACTATCAAGCTGGCCCAGGCATTTCGAGGAGTCGGTGACGTTGTGTGGGTTCAGTCACAATTTAGTGAGACCCGACCTGTGCTTGAAGAACAAATCCTTGTAAGCGACATCGCGCCCAAAACACCACGAGCTTCTAAGAGAGGCCGACCAAACATCCCGGTTCAGCCAATCGACGCCGATGGCCCGCCAGATGAAGAGGCATTCCTGAGCCATGAGGTTGCTACATGTGTCAAGGCGGACACGCCTGGCTGCCGGATAGCTTCAGCCATAGAAGACTCGTTGCCTAAAACAGACACAAGGTTGACCAAATCTCACTATTCAGCCTTCCAGTCAACCCACCTGTTGCGCATACTGCGTGCTAAGATGGTCATGGAGCTCTTCATTTGTGGATCACTCACCAACATTGGTGTATATGCCACAGCTCTTGATGCCGCAGGCCATGGAATGGCAATCACCATCGTCGACGACTGTTGTGGTTACCGATCAGAGGCTAGAAAGACTTCGGCAATAGCCTCTCTGATAGAACTGACTGGATGCGAAATTGCTTCGTATGACGAGGTCATGGAGGTGATACAACCCAAGCCCAAGCCCCCCAAGTCAAGAAAGCCCCCGTCTTCGTCCAAGGTCCAGGAACAATCCCAGACTGCAAAGTCAGATCTTTCAAAAGCCGAAGGCCGCGAGAAGAGTACTACCCCGGATTTTGTTAAGGACATGACAAGTCTTCGACTGGCTTCAAATCCCCCAAGCCCCGCATCAACACCGACTCAGCCCCAGCCAAAGGCGTTGTCGACAAGTGCAGCTGAACACCATGAGTCAGAGGTCAGCCCGGAATCGAAGGCTACAGAATCAAATGGTGTTAATCAGATCAAATCTACTGGGGCACCCAATGGCATACATGAGTCGAACAAGGCCAAGGATTCCCCTATTAAAGCCGGACCAGATTCAGCATTATTGGATCATACTTCTAAAGACCACGAAGAAAGCACAGTCATAGATTCCCAACACAATGCCACGCAAAGTCCAGACCAAGTCATAGAGCCATCGTCTCCAGCCGAGACAAGCCAGAAAGAAGAACAGTCCATCGCATCACCTCCGGCTCAACCGACCAGCAAGCACGAAGCACAGACAATGAAAGCACAACCAGACAAGACACAGGAAATACCCGAGATGAACAGACCAGCGGCTAAACATGATGCCAACCTTCAACAGGAAGGCCTTTGCGAAGGAGATACCGACATCATTGAGGATGTTCTTCCTGAGCCGTTACTTGAGGGCATCTTCGATAAGTTGCGCGAGGAGGTTCAGTGGCAGCGCATGTCTCACCAGGGTGGGCAAGTTCCACGACTTGTTGCTGTTCAGGGCGAGATCGGACCAGACGGGAGCATCCCAGTCTACCGTCATCCATCTGACGAATCTCCTCCACTGCTGTCATTCTCTCCTACGGTACTGGCTATAAAAAACGAGACCGAGAAACGGCTGGGTCATTCTCTGAACCATGTGCTGATCCAGTACTACCGAGATGGGAATGACTACATCTCCGAGCACAGTGACAAGACCCTGGATATCGTCAAAGGTTCTTATATCGCCAACGTGAGCCTCGGTGCTGAACGAATTATGACTTTCAGAACAAAGAGAAGGGATAAAGACTCTTCACAGGAGGATGTCAGCTCTCCAACAACCTCGAAAAGAGTGATACAACGTGCCAGGCTCCCACACAATTCTCTATGCCGACTAGGCTTGAAGAGTAATATGAGGTGGCTACATGCCATCCGTCAGGACAAGCGTTCAAAGAAGGAAAAATCCACGGCTGAACTTGCATACGAAGGAGGGCGAATCTCTCTAACCTTCAGGCAGATAGGGACGTTCCTGAATGGCGGAGAGACTCTTATATGGGGCCAAGGTGCCAAGGCCAAGTCCCCCGAGGATGCTCACGCAGTCATTAACGGACAGTCTACCGAGGCAATTGAGCTGCTGAAGGCTTTTGGGACAGAGAATCACTCAAGCGAATTCGATTGGGACGCACATTATGGGAAAGGGTTCGATGTGCTGCATATGAGCAACGCACCTCGCCTCTTTACATGCAGTGACCCAACTATCAATATGCGCATTGCTCTCATGCTGGCGGAGTTTGGCGTGAACTACGCAAAGGGAAGCATTACGACTGGATCTGCTGCTACAGACTCTGAGAATCTGTCAGTCAAATTCGTGGACAAGGACAAATCCACTGTTCAAGGTGATATGGCTGTCATGTCGTACATTGATGCCCGCTATGGGCTTGGGAGACCTGGCAGCACCCCACAAACACCGAAGGAGTTGGCCATTCGGCTCACTCGTTTCCAGCGAGCCTTGGCTCTTTTGGATATCTGGAAAACCCTTCCGAAGGAAACTCAGAGCGGTAAACGAGACACGAAGTCTCTTAAACAGGAGCTTGAAGTTTGGGACGGGTTCCTCGCTGAGGATAATGCACCTTACATCGCTGGCGTGGAACTGGCTCTGCCCGACTTCGCCTTCTGGCCAGTTTTGCACGACATGGTGGAAGAAACAGGAGTAGAGACTCTCCGGGATCAGAAAAGACTAAGTGAATACTATGAGAAGGTTGGCGAGAGGCCTAGCTTCAAGAAGGTGCTTGGCAAGCATCCGCCGCAGCAGTCATAGGAGATTACCCCTGCTCGATGATTGTATTTTAGACAAGTAGCAAACTCGCGATCCAAATAATTAGGTAGTGCCCGGGTAGTATCTTGTCCTTTGCGAAGGACCAAGGGATTGTTGATGCAAATCTGTATGAAATTATACGTATTGTTCGTTGCAATAACAAGAGTTTCTTATGTAAATGACCAGTGCAGCGTAGCACAACAGTGGTGACTATTGAACAGGTCAAAAACACGGACAATACCTCTATCACGGCAATAGAAGACATAGAGGAACTGTGGGAGACTTTCAGGTGTCGCAAAAAGACAAGGAGAGAAGGGAGGGGGAAAATTATACAATGTTTGGTATCTATTGTTCCAAAACCGTGAGGAGGATAATATACTCGACGAACCGACCCCTCGATTGATAACTTCAAGCATCCGCAGGAGATCATTCCGAGGTGCTCCATGGAAGAGGATATGTGCCAACCCAATCTTCAACCTCACTTCGTAGTTGGACAATTTCGGATTCTGTCTCACCATCACCGAGGTGATCTAGGAAAACCTTTATCTTGCCAGGGCTCTTCTCACCTTTCTCCTCTGCTGCTTTTCTAGCAGCTTTGTCGATACGAGAAGTGATGGTGACGGCACGATCCACAACGTCAGCAACACGAACGAAATCATCCTCGTTAAAGCCACGGGTAGTCATGGCAGGAGTACCCATGCGAAGGCCACCAGGAACCAAAGCAGAACGATCCCCTGGGACTGTGTTTTTGTTGGCTGCCACACCTACCAACTCCAAGACACGCTCAACTCGGCCACCGTCAATGCCCTGGGGTTTGAGATCAGCCAGGACTAGGTGGTTATCTGTACCTCCACTGACAAGCTTGTATCCCAAGCCACCTTTGCCCTTGGGCTCGCTCAGCCGCTTTGCGAAAGCCTTGGCGTTTTTCAGAACCTGAGACTGATATGCCTGGAACTCTGGGGTGTGGGCTTGTTTGAGAGCTACAGCAAGAGCCGTGATGGTGTGGTTATGCGGACCGCCTTGGTGACCGGGAAACACAGAGCTGTTGATAGGACCTTCGAGATCATAAAGAATATCTTCCTTCGTCTTGGCATTTTGCCTCCGCACTCCTTTCCTATAAAAGATCAGAGCACCTCGGGGACCCCTTAGACTCTTGTGGCTCGTTGTGGTTACGATGTCGGCGTAGGCGAAGGGACCAGGAATGACCTTTGCTGCAACAAGGCCAGAAATATGGGCGATGTCGGCTAGTAGGTAGGCGTTGATCTTGTCGCAGATCTCCCGCATGCGCTGATAGTCGATTAGTCGGCTATAAGCACTCGCACCAGCGACAATAATCTTTGGCCTATATATGCATGCCATCTCCTCCAACTTGTTGTAGTCGATATATCCTGTAGTCTCGTCCAGCCGGTACGGTAAAGTTTCGAAGTACTTTGATATCGCTGAAATCTTCTTTGTGGGCGTTTGGTAACCATGAGATAGATGGCCGCCATGTGGTAGATCGAGACCCATTAACCGATCATGGGTGTTGAGCAAGGCAGAGTAGACATAGAGGTTCGCTGGAGCGCCAGAGAGAGCTGAGAGGCCATAGTCAGTATCACATGCGCCCATGTAAGTCACTTGAGAGAAAAGCTCCTAGCAACCAACCTTGAACATTGACACCCCATAACTTTGGGTCGAGTCCGAACGATTCAAGGGCACGCTGTTGACAAAGCCTTTCGGCCTGGTCGATAAATTCATTCCCGCCATAGTAACGGGCCCCTGGGTATCCTTCCGAGTATTTATCTACAGCCAACGTTAGTCTCAAGGTCTGTCGTCGTTCGATTCTTGGCTACTAAAGCTCACTCTGCATCACGCTACCGAGAGCATCGAGTACAGCCTGGGAGGTAAAGTTCTCGGAGGGGATCAGATTGATGAAATGCTTCTGGCGGTCTTTCTCCTGCCCAAGCCGTCAGCACAGGGGAAGCAGATAGAATGTGTAGCATCAGTGCGACCAACCTTCTCAATGATGTCGAAGACAGCGGGGTCAGCTTTGCTCAGATGGGCTGAGAGGGCCTGGGGTGAGGAACGGGAGCATTAGATGCTTAACTTTTTTAAACAACCCAATTGAAGAAGACACACCTGCTGCTGGTCCTCCAGAGCTATGGAAGATGCGGCTCGAGTACATGTCGCGAATACAGCAGCTGGCCTTGCGATGTTACGCAGGACACGCGAGGTGCCTCTCACACCAGCGAGAGACATAGCGTGCTTGGCAGTCGATGGCAAGACACCGAGATCGAATGATTCGAGCGCTTATGGGAGAGACAAATTGAGGGTTCTATTTGCGGCAACGCAAAAGAGCTTCAAGAGGTGCTTGGTGTAGTCCAACGGCGCGTTCACTCAGGACGTCATCGACTGATACGATGGGACTTAATTAGTGCCGACGACTGTAGGCGGAGGCGGAGGCGGAGGGTGGAGGGTGGAGGTGGAGGAAGTTCGGACAGGGCCGCGACTCAAATGATGAGTGACTGTCTCATGGATGGATCCATAGCAGCAGCAGCAAGACTCAGGACGCACCACCAACCATGGTGCTCCAAATACGATACTCTCGCACAAAGTACCAGCTGTAATGCTTAGGTAGTTGGGATCTGTAACTCTTGAATTTAGCACTCGTCTTTCAAAGCGAATGGAACATTTGTTGGTAGCTTCATTGGATTAAAAAAACTAAAAAAGTAAGGAAAAAAAAACTCACGCTGGATGGGAATATCCTCTGACCAAGTACATTGAGCGCACTCCACGACATGCATTTCTGGCCTTACATACTAACCTACCTTACTGCAGCCACATAACTACCTCGTGGCTACAATCAAAGTAGGTATAAAACGACTCGACCATAATACTCAATTTGTAGTATAGCTGTTTGCTTGTTTTCCTCCGTCACTTCTTGTCTATTAAGATAAGGTTGGGTGTGATGGCATGGCTTAGACAACACATAGGTCCAGTCCGTCTGGAGCTGGTGCACCCTCATCACTCATTGCCTTGGGCAGCTTTTTTTTTATATTCAAGGAGAAGCGGCTCAACTAGGCTTTTGCTTGTTTTATTTCTACGATATCATGTGGCTGCTTTTGACATCGTCAGCTCGTTGGCACTTTTAGGTCAGACACCTCCACTTGGGTGATATGAGCTGGGTTTGCCTGTCCCTGTCCAGCCAAGCGGAAGCGCTGCCTCAGGTCTGGTTGAATTCCTGATTGTTTAGATAGTTAGTGTAGGGAACGTTCCATTCATGTAGAGGGTCGGGACTTTCAATTGTGGCTCAGTTTTCGACAATTCACATTCGCTAATCCAGTTACTGGCATAGATGAGACGTCACGAAGAATGCTCTCATGATTAGCAAGACCGCGCATATTATTTTTTAAAACGCTGGTGGTACTTAAGTCATGATGTGCGGAACAAGTGCTCACGAGAAGGTCGTAAATGGTGAAACATCCAAGCATCCGAGCATCATCGATTCCATTTTTTTTCAATGCTACATGCCTGAACCCCCGCCGGTACAAGTGTAGAAACCAGAAGGGCATAAAAAGAGACCCAACCCGTAGACTCCGAATGCAGCCTCCTCTCAAGACCGAAATGTTGTCATTGTCCACTAGGTTTAATCTTACTCCTCGGCAAGGAGAGCATTTCGCTTCGCCACCGCACGCTCCTGCTTGCGCTCGCGAGCAGCCTTGTTCTTCGCACGCTTGGCATCCATCTCCTCCTGAAGGGCAGTCTCACGGGCCTTCTCAGCCTTGGCACGGTGAATCTAGATCAAAAACTCCATGTCAGCGAATGTCCCGAGCGTAGACCCCGAGAAAGGGGCATCATTGATAAAACGTACGTGCTCGACGAGGGCACGCTTGTGCTTGAAAGCGTTACCCTTGCTGCTATGGTACAGCTCGTGGTAGAGGTGCTTATCGATCTTGCCGCTGGCACGGTACTTGACCAAGAGACGGCGGAGGACTCGGAGGCGGCGCATCCAGAGGACCTGGCTAGGCATACGGGCATCGGCGGTACCCTTACGCTTACCATAGCCACGGTGTCGGCCCTCTCGTCGGGCGAGGTTCAGCTCGCGAGCGCGCGATCGTGAGTGCTGGGTGACGGGCTTTCGAATGATGAGGCCATCGGAGATAAGCTTTCGGATGGTCTGGCGAGAGTTGGCGTTGGAGATCTCGCTCTGCTCGTTGGGGTCGAGCCAGATCTTGCGCTTGCCACAGCCGATGACCGCTGAGGCCAGGCGCTTCTGAGTTCGCAGATTGACCCTGTAGTTGAGGAAGAAACCATTAGTTAGCCACCAGTGCCCTCTGATAATGTTGTCATGTCCCAAATTTTCCAATCCACCGAATCCGTGGCGACACCATCAAAAGGCATTGCAACCAGTTCATATACTTGTTTCCAAAGCTCCTCTTGCATCGCCTCCTCGCTTGTACGGATCGTTCGGATGGACTTACATCTTGATTGTCGTTGGGTGGTGATGGCCGGTCCTCGATGGATGTTGGATGATGAAGACTGGTGAGAGGGGTTGCGAGGCCAGAATTTCTCTGCTTGCAACTCCTTCTGTGGGTTCACGCTAATCCCAGAACGTCAAGCGAGGGCTGCACGTGACCCTCAGGGTCGAAATTGGCAGGAGCATGTTAGTGCATCAAATTAAAACTACCTATGCATTTTACAGGTGAATAAATTATCAATGAATCATGATTCTGAAATTTGATTTCGGGGTCTTATCGAGATAACCATTCTACATTTCGATCCAATTGAGAAGGATGCGAAGATGATATACAATTCGCACTGTTGTGGACAGCAGGAGTGTGTTAAAAGAGCTATACCAAATGGAAGTTTAGAATTGCAATTGTAGACCGTTGGTTCATTCTACTTTTGCATGCATGATCAAATCTTCGTTATCAAGGTAACAAGTAGATATGATTTATAGTGCATTTATCAACTATTCATCGAGTGGAACGGTACATTCAATGGCACCCGCCCAGGACATATGCCCAGACAGCCTAAGATTGTGTTTGCGACATGCTCTTTTACATTTTATGAGAAGGCTTCGCTGCCCACATCAACCTTTCCCACACTCCAAATCTCCTTCTCATCCTCAGCTTCATCATTGGACAGTCCCAATCCCCCCTGTCCACCCTCAGCCTCGCGCCTCTCGCGGGCTTGGGAGCCTAGCCTCATGGCGACACGTTTAAAATAGTCTCCCATGCTCCTCTTGGTGTTGGCTGGCAGATCTGCTCCATGACCAGCCATGAATTTATCGAAAATGCGGCTCTCTTCATCAGCCACATTGAAAAGCTCCACAAATGCCGCCTCAGCAGCGAGCTTGACGGGAATGACAGGGTCGCGAACACTGGCAAATATGGGTTGTGCTAACAGGGCGATATGAGGTCGGACCATCTCCATATCATTGCGACTGACAGTACGGACGACAACCAGTGCAAGTCTGCGTGAGTCGGTTGCATTGCCAGGTTGGATCACAGAGGCAAGGGCTTCAAAAATTCCCTTTGTCGTCTCAAATGTTTTTGGAGAATCAGATAGCAGGTACTTCCCAGTTGCCAGGATGCAATTGTCTGCAACAAATACCTAGACGGTTGTCAGTTTACGAATCATATTCGATCTGGGAATATAGATGTGGCTTACGTTCTTGTTGGTGACGCCCTGGCAAAGCAAATCGGGCAAGTCATCAGCCAGGGGGCTTTGAAGCAGCGCGTCTGGTGATTCCGCGAGTACCGAGTTCAGGGCAAGGACAGATGAATGAGTGAAATGCGAGGTCGCCACGCGGTTCTTCAATAAACCATGAGCGGCTTCCTCAGGAACATTTTTGATGAGAGCTCCCAGCAACTTGGCATTAGTGATGGTCATAGTCTCATCTCTCTCGTCCGTGTCCATGTCGATAAGTGACAAGACAGAAGCTCGTGATGCCTCACCCATATTCGCACCCGCCTTACTGATAACTTCATACAAGGCCTTGAGCATGGCCGTCTTGACACCGGGATCGGCCGTCTTCGACCCAGTGACTAGTTCAGCAATCAACGGATCAATACGAGGCGTATACTTGATCAAAGTACCTAGTGCCTTGGCAGCCCGTGTTCTCAAAGTTTCACTGGATGGGTCCGCAAGAGACTTGGCAAATGTACGTTGAAGCTGTGGAAGAAAAGGTTTCAATGCCGCAGGCATCTTATCCAGGAGATTATTGAGTGTCAGAAGGATCGCCGACTTGACTTCAGTGGCGCGCTCTGAAACGACACGGATCAGAGGACCAGTAATCTGGGTAACGAATGGTTTCAGAGAGGCCTCGCTTGTTCTGTCAACGATGTCTGAAATACCCAGAGCAGCTTGAACTCTTTGGTCTGCAGTACCATTCATCAAACCTTGCAGGAAGATTGGTAGAATAGCATTGATGCCCTTGGGTAGCTCGAACCCGCGCAGGTTTGCTCCTGCGACGCCGATACGCTGAAGAGTTTGTCGAGTGGAAACGACGAGTGACTCCATCTCCTCCTTTCGCAGCTTCTTTGTGAATGCGCTGAGAGCCACCCATGCAGTCTTGACGACATCTGTATCTCTGTCGTCAAAGGAGTTAAGCAATGAACGAATGATATCCTGGTTGTATCTGGAATAATCCACGCTGGCAGCGGCAAAAAAGTTGCCCAGATGGCGAGCAGTAGCCGCTCGGCGTCGGTGATCCTCGTGTTTGAGAAGCTGCAGTAGAACGTTCATGACTGTATTGAGACCATCGTATTCGTCAATCGACTGAATGACGGTGTCGAAAGATGTTGCCAGCTCTTCCCGAAGGCCATCGTCGTTACAATTTATCTCGTTATCCATGAGCGAATTGATAATGTTGGGGAGACGACGGTTCATCGCAGGACCAGCAACCTTGGACAGAGATGCAAGAGCCTTGGCATCGAAGGCTGATATGGGTGGTGTCGTGAGGGTTGGGATGAGGTTTGGCAGAATAATATTCGAGCGTGTTGTCTCAGTGAGCAGGGTGAGGAGTGCCTGCAGAGCATTGTCTGCGTCACGCTCGGAACGCAAAAGGTTGAGAAGGAAAGGAAGAACTTGATCAACTGCTCGCTTGCCAAAGATTTGCTGAAGCGAATCAAATGCTTCAGCAGCGGCTTCTCGAACATTCTCGTCAGAATCTGTCAGTGCGGTACGAACGACGGAAATCAGGGTCTTTTCGTGATCCTCAAGAGCCTCCGGCGATGCAGAAGAGATAAGCTCTCTCAAGGCAAAGCAAATACCCTGCTTAGCGTCAACATCTGTTGATGTCTGAAGGCCTTCTTCCAAAGTGGGAAGAAGACTGGACAGAACACTGTCTCCAGCCTTTCGGATAAGTTCTCCTAGGGCATTGCTGGCAATGACCTTGTGTTCCATGTTGGAACTTCCCAAGCGACGGATAAGAAGTTGTGTGAGGGTTGGCACAAGCTCCTTCAGGGTTCTCGGACTGTGAACAAGGACCTTCCAGACAGCAATAGCGGCCGAGCGAACGGCCCCAGCTGTATCGCAACGGCATACGTAGAGTGCAGAAAGTATCTTATTCCGCTTCTCCTCTCCGAGTGTTTCCTTTAGAGAAGCGCCTGCTTCTTTGATGTTCTCGTCCTCCTCAATGTCCTCAGCCTCTGTTCCAGCCTTGATACCAGTAAGGTTGAAGAGAAGATCCCCTACAAGCTCGACAGAGCTAAGTCGGATTCTGTAGCTGTCGTCCGCGAGGCCGCGTTCAAGTTCTGGAAGGAGGAGATCGACAGCACGAGCAGCAAAATTCTTGACTAGCAGACGACCTGCACGCAGTGCGGTTTCACGAATCGACTCAACATCATCGGCAAGACCAGCCAGAATAGGTGGTACGATGCGACCCAAGTAATTGGAGAAGCTATTGCCAAAACAGACTGGGAGGAAAATAAAAAGTGACATAAAGCCTTCGCGAACGGCGGGCTTTGAGGATTCGACATTTTGAAGAATGGTGGGAAGAGTCTCCTCCAGCCTTGTCGTTCCCAACCCAGCGAGCACCTCGCTGAGAGCCTGAGCGGATCCCAATCGATCACCAGCACCAGTATCTGATTTGAGAGTCTGCATCAGGCCAGGAATAAGATCGGGAAGTGTGTCTTCTCCGAGCTTCTCGACCAAAGAACCCAACGCTCTGGAAGCCGTCGCTCGAGTGGTAGGCACAGGGTCGACAATGGCAATCTTCAGACCAGCCACAAGTACCGGTAAATGCATGACCACGTCCTTCTTTTCGGTCAGATGAGCCAAGCTGCCGATTACCTGAGCTGCCTTGCGCTTGGTATTGGAACGATCGCCCAAACCACGCTGCAGAATGCGAGTGACCAATGCCAAAGATGGAGCATCGAGGTAATGAACAAACTGGACCTTGATGAGCGAGTCCAGGGCTTCATCGGTATACTTTGTAGGGTCACTCAGAGCCTTCAAAATAATGTCGACCAACGATTTAATTTCTGGATTGTTGATGACTTCACCAAACCTCTTTAAGCTTCGGTTTGCGGCAGCCCTTACTTCCTTGTGGCTGTCGTTTAACACACCTGTCAGAGGGGGAATGATGTCTGGCAGACTGTTGGCGAGCTGCTGCGGATCGAGGTATGCCATTGCACCAAGAAGGTCACAAGCACCCTTCTTGCTCCTCCACTGTTGCTCTTCAAGACCATCAAGCAGAGTTGGCATGATTCTCTTCACACCGTAAGAGCTTAGCTTCGCAAAGCACGACTTAGCCGCTGCCAGACAAGCCTCACGAACGTTTGCGTTAGCATCACCGAAGCCCGTCAGCAGCTGAGGCACAATCTGGATGACGTAAGGTTCAAAGACGCGTCCAAGCATAGTTGAGAGAAGTTCGTATGCTAGCAAAGCGGCCTCACGCTGATTTGCCTCCTTTTTGTTTTCCATTGCGTCAGTGAGAGTTGACAGAACTCGGTGCTCTCTTAGTGCCGCGATGCCTCTGCCCATTACAAGGCCAGCCAGACCATAAGCCGATCCCCTCTGAACAGCATACTTTTTAGAAGTGAGGAGCTGCTCCATGATTTGACCAAAGTATTTGGAAGACTGGTCAGGGCAGGCCCGGATCAAGGGAGGCAGGCATTCAGCAATGGCATATTGTACCGTCTCCGAGGGCGTACTTAGAGTTGTCACGAGGCGGTCGATAACGATAGGTATCTTGGGATCACCAGGGCTCAAATGGCGAGCCAAGGCACCGTACATAATAATCACTGCCTCGTTGACACGGTCAGCAGCGTCGCTGTTTTTGTCTGGCTGTTCCAAGGTCTGTTCGAATTTTGACATGAGCTCATCAAGGATGCCCTTGCCGTGAATTTCGATGGCCGTAATCGAAGCATCCAGCATTTCACCTCTCACTGCATCGTTGTTATCTCCAAGAGGGCCGGCATCGATGAGGAAGTCAAAGAAAGGATCGAGCTGATCAACCTTGAAAACTGGAGCAATCTCTTTGAAAGCTGTAGCGATACCTTGCCTCCCTTCCCAAGGATCGGACAGGTCCATCTTTTTGGGCATGCCGAACTCATCGAGCTGTTGAACTCGGGGTTTAGCAAGCTCGACGTAAGTGGCCTTGAGCTGGTCAAGCACCGCAGGTAAAGACTCATCATGTAAGCTAGCTGCTTCAGA